GCAGACATTATATATGTGGATTTTCATAAAGTTTTTGACACTGTTTCCCATAGCATTCTTCTGGAGAAATTGGCTGCTCGTGGCTTAGATGTGTATAGTTTGCTGGGTGAAGAACTAGCTGGGTGGACTGGCTCTAAGAACCATTGTGAAGGAAGCTCAAACCAGTTAGCAGCTGACACCAGTGATATTTCCAGGAGCTCGGTACCAGGGCCAGTTTTGGTTACCATTTTTATCAGTGATCTGGACAGTGTGAATTGAGTACACCCTCAGAAAGCTCACAAATAATACTAAGCTAGATAGAACTGTTGATCTGTTTGAGAACAGTAAAGCACTGCACAAGAATCTGAGTAGGCTGAATCAATGGGCTGAGTCCAGACACATAAAGCCAAGTGCTGGGTCCTGCACCTGAGTCACAACACCACCATAAATGTTACAGGCTGGGGTAAGAGTGGCTGGAAATCTGCCCAGCAGAAAAGGACCTGGAGATGTTGATTGGCAACCTCTTGAACAGGAGCCAGCAGTGTGTCCAGATGACTAAGAAGGCCAAAGCATTGTGGCCTGCATAAGGAATAGTATGATCAGCAGGACTGGAGAGATGATCGTCCCTCTGTAATTGGCACAGGTGAGACTACAGCTTGAACACTGTGTTCAGTTTGCGGTCCTTCACTACAAGAAGGCTACTGAGTTGCTCTAGCTTGTGCAGAGAAGACTTAAAAAGTCCGGAAAAAGTACTAGAAAACAAAAGTTATGAGAAGCAGCAGAGGGAACTTCTGAAGGTCTCTGCAACTACCTGAAAGAATGTAGCAGCGAGGAAGGTGTCTGTTTTCACAGTTGAGAAGTGACAGGACGTGAGGAAATGGTCTCAAATCATGCCAAAAAGGATTTAGATGGGAGTCCCTTCACAGAGAGAGCGGTCAAGCATCACAACAGACTGCCCTGGGAAGCAGTGGAGCTGCCATACCTGCAGATATTTAAGACACACGCACACATGTCACTAAGGGAGATGGGTTAGTGCTGGGGACCTGGTAGAACACATTGACAGCAGAACCTGATGTTCTTGAAGGTCTTTTCCAACCTACATGATTCTTTGATTCAAAGTGTTTGCAGAGCAGTTTCCATACAATGTTTTAAAATTTATGCTGTGGTGAGGTATGTCTTCCAGCCATTTCACCTTAGAACCTGAGTGTAAGACTCTGAATTTTAAATCCAAAATACTTGCTTTCTAGTTAAATAATCACAGATTTTAATTTTACACAGTTAATGTAAACTCAAAGTGCCTGTCAGATATGACCATCCAGACTCAATACCCAGGCTGACTGTCAAAAGACATCAGGACAATCTCGTTTTCCCATTCACAAAGTTTCAAAAACAGACAAAAGTTACTGCTAGAGGAAAATAAAGAGAAGACAGCAGCATCGTGGGTTTCTCTCTACACTGAAGGTGAGTGGAAGGCTTTGCTTCCACATTAAACTTAGTTAGATAACACCAATATCATGGAAACACAGCTCAAAACGACAAGGCGTGATACAACCTGTTTTATCTCAGCACAACATTTTTTTTTTCTTATTAAAAGACACAACAACAAAATCTTTTATCAATATTGATTCAGACTATTTTCACTGAGAAAAGAATCATTTTCAAGGGGTTCAGCATTTCATAAACACTTCAGTGTGTCATGAATTTTTAACAATGACAGAACATGATATGTAACCCACTAAAAAAACGGGCAAATATAAAAACGTTTTGGTATTCTATAAAGTCAAAAATTTGCAAACATTAAATTATTGTATAAAACAACTTTGTAGCTGCTACTGCATGCAGTAGCAAACTACTGTATGCAAAATACAAATATGGAATTTACTCTGAAGGAAATAGATGATATTTAATAATAGAAAGATTTACAGAAAACGGATTGATTTCAACCCAAAAATGTCTAGTGAATTAAAACTATTTAACAGCAATCACTACACATATCAACTAGGCAGTAAAAATAACCTACCAATATGTTTCCATTTGCACAGATGTTCTTTAATTTATCAAAAAGCAAACACTGACTTTTTATTTCCTTTTATTTTCTTTAGTAGATGCTACATTAAAGAAAATGTCAGCCCAGTCTCTACAGATTTCTGAAAACAATAGATGCTTTGCTTATTTGCTTTTCTTTTTATTTCAGAGGAAGTGAAAGATAGGAAAGAGAGAAAAGGGAAAGTAATGAAGGAATGGAGGAAAGGATACAGAAAGAAGCAGACAGATAAATATTTACAACACTTAAAACAATTAGAACTATTCTCACATTGTAACATCTACATCTTGTTTGGCTGCACCCTAGAATGTATTATATCCTTCTGTATTTGTTTTCTGTTGTTTCCTGTGGATATTAAAAATCAACAAAACATATAAGGCAGCAACTAAACATAATAGGACCAACTGTAACTATTAGCTATCACAGGCCTTAATATGAATAAGATTTTAAAGACAGACCCCAAAATGTAGTTTTTAAAACATGTATTACTTATAAGCACTCAATATGAGCAAAAGATGTACAAAACAATAGCGCTGAATGGTGAAGAATGATGAAAAAACATATCCGTAACCTAAAAAACTGGACAGGAATGGAAGAGGAATTGGCTGCTGAAGAGTGTTACTGGCAAGACTTGCAATTTTAAAAGGAAAAACTGTCCTGAATCAATTGCTTACAGATTCTGAAAGCTATTATAACACCATGCTTAGGGTTCTCCAAGGCAAAGACCCTGAAGTCAGTGGGCATGAGAGCATGAATGTTATTCTGCAGAATCAACAGTTAAGAACACTAACACAATGATGACATTTGACTTATTCAGTGTTACTGACAGTAGCAGAGAAACATGAACCCTGTGTTTAAGGAAATAAAATAATTTACAAAAAATATCTAATACAAGGGGCTTTAAAATATTTTGAGAAAATATTAAATAGCCATGCAATTCCACCAAAGATATATTATTAAAAAAAAGAAAAATACTACAGTGTTACTCATGAAATTCACTGTAACATAAGAACAGACTTAGACTACTGGTGTTTTTCAGAGCAGATTTTTAACCAAGGAACAACAATTTATAGATTTATTGACATTAAATCATAATAGGGCCTTTGAGAGATTGTCAAACTGCATACTTCCCTTAAATTAGAACAGGCCTAGCTATTTCATTATAAATTCAATGTCTGAAATGATGTCTTGGAAAAGTAAGGTTTAATGACTCAATCCAAGATTACAGTGCTTCCTTGCCTCACAATAAGGCCATCCACTCACTACCTGGGGCAGTAGCACATTGATGGCTATTATAAAGCACCCCACCACTGATTTTTCTGTATCCAACTGAGTTCCTTCATCAGAATATTAATTTCAATCAAATACATAAACTCTTAAAAGCAAGCACTGTATTTCTAAATAATCAAGCACTTGCTTGAGATGGAAAGGGTATGTGTAGCTAAAGACAATATGTAGCATCTCAATGTCATTTTATTCTGAAAGAGGCTTCAAGAATTAAAAAAAAGACTGCAACCAATTTTCTACCAACTGCAGGAAAAACAAAGTTGCCAGTTATAAATAACTGATTAACATAATTGCCTTGTACTCAGCAGAAATGACCTAGAAATTGTAAATTGCACACTTCACAAATTTTGTGCATTTTGATTCCATACCTTTACATTAAATAATCTAAAGTTAATTGAAGCCTTCTCCAGAATGCATCTATTACTCTTATACAGTTCAAGGAATGGGCATCTCATAAAAGGATGAATTTCAGTACCGGGTAAACTACACATTTTTGTGATTTCAACCTCCGGATCAATCACTTCCAAACAGACAATTGTCTGTGACTGTTTATGATCCTCAAAACATATAAAAACTTTGAATTAATTCTCAGTGCTTCTATTGGTTATATTTCCAGATTAGGAAAGGTCTGGGACCGTCAATCTAAGAAGACACTGCCTGTTCAAACAAGATCCTGAGATACCTTCTGTCACAGAGAAAAGAGGATTTGCATTCATGTTATTAAAAAAACTAAAAAATCCAAGATTTTGAAGTTATGAGAAACAAAATTAAAGGGAAGGATGATGAAAGAACACTCACTCCATTCCTCTGTTACACAGAGGATATTAAACTAAACAAATCCTAAAATAGCATTCAGGAATATTATGTAAACTGTGCAAGAAATTAGTGTATGGTCAGATAAATCAAGAAATATTTCTGAAAAAGCACAAAGCAGATGCAAAAATTAGTGACATCATTTCCCTACATCATTCTAGTGGTCCACCAGTCATCTTCTTGCAGAAGATGATATCATAGAAGCAAACTCTGTCAAATTTATTAATTTTCTTTGTCACATAGCAAGGAACATTATCCTAAATTGCTCTTGAATATGTCTCCCAGTTTTGTCAACTTTCTAGAATGTTAGCAGTGGATATACATTTTTTTCTTTTTTTTACAACAGCTTTCAGAATTCCTTAGGAAAGAGTTTTGTTTTTTTCAATTTAATATAATGCGTGATCTGTTTTATGCATGCTTCTCAATATCCAGATGGTAGAGATACTGCATGACAACCAGATCATACATCTTTTTACCTCAACAAATTGTTCCTTGAGGCAAAAATACATAATAAAAAGATCTCACAAATATGTACTATGTGATATTCATAGTCTCAGTGCTTTCGTTGTCAGCAGAAATCCAGAAGCTGAACTTTCACGGTTGACACTGGTCAAGTTTTCTGTTGTTCGTCTGGGGGAGGACAGATTCAAACTTTTTTAAACAAATACCAGAGATTGTAAATGGTGTTAATGAATTGCCATTATTTGCAGAAACTAATAGGTGGATATCAGTAACGCCTCAGTTACGTACTTCTAACCTTAAACATAGTTTAATTCCTGTAACTGGCAACAATGATTCAGATTTTGAATGCACTTCAAAATATTGGAATATCTTAATAGCAAAGAATACATAAAGTATATATGAATATAGTACTCACCAATTTTAATCTTTGTAAAGGTATTCTGCTAGTGTCTATCGGTGTACGTTCTGTGACATTACCAAATCTGACTTCTGGAACGGCAATTGCACACATTACATGAGCCCACCTGTGAAAAGTGGCAGGTCAAGAATACTACCAGAAAAACTCGGTACAAATACAAGTGATGTTTCATTACCTGCAATTTGTTGTTTCTATTTTACAAGGCAACCACATCCAGACATTTGCCTTCCAGGATTTCAGAAGACTTCTTTGAAACAAGTTAACACAATTTACAACACTAACACTTCATGTAAACATCATTTTAGACTCTAAATTTTTATTTGGAAAAAAAAAAAAAAAAAGTAAATACTTTTCATATTGTATTTCTTAAGTGCAATATCTTTGTAGGTGTTCTATCCAGGGGCGCATGCCTCAGCCAGGCTGTTTTATTAATAAGCAATTTTTTACCTACAGTATTTTCACAGAATCATAAAATATATCAAGTTGAGGGACCCACAAGGCACACTGACTCCAACTCCTGGCTCCATCCAGGACCACCCATGTTCCATGCCCACCTGGTGAAGAATCTTTTCCTAATGCTCCCTGACCCTCCTTGACAGCTCCATTCCTTGCCCTTGGTCCCTGTCACTGTGACCAGAGAACAGAACTCAGCGCTGCCCTTCCACTCCCTTTAGAGGAGCTGCAGCCTCCTTCTGCTTTGAGCTGAACAAACCCAGGGACCTCAGCCACTCCTTGCATGTCTTGCCCTCATAGACCACTCACCATGTTTGTTTCCCTCCTGAGGAAGCTCTCTAATAGTTTTATGTCCTTCTCGCAGAGTGGTGTCCAGAACTGCACACAGTGCTCAGAGTGAAGAGTGCAGAGCAGAGTAGAGTGAGACAACCCTTTCTCCTCACCAGCTGACAGTGCTGGGTCTGACCCACTCCCAGAGTACAGCTGGCCCTTATGCTGCCAGAGCACACTGCTGACTCATATTCATCTTGCTGTCAACTAGAACCCCCAAATCCCTTTCCATGGGCTTGCCTTCCAGCCTCTGACCTCTCAGTCTATATCCAAGGTTGCTGTGACCTGGCAGAATTGAACACTAGCTCTTTCTTAATTTCATATGCTTGGTGATTGTCTAGTCCTGAAATATGTCAAAATTCCTCGGCAAGGGCTCTCTACCCTTGAGGGAGTCAACTCTCAATTTAGCATTGTCCACAAAATTACTTAGTATACATTTGAGACTTGTGTTCAAAAAACAGAAAAACATTGAAGAAAACTGGCCCTCAAAAAGAGCCTCGGGAGCACAATTAATGACTGGCCATCAGCCTCATAATGTGACCTCATAATGTTTTGAGCCCAATAATGCTTCAAGCCCAACCTGCAGGCCAATTGTTCACTCATAACATTTTGTTTTTGTCTAGATGTGTACACATCTAGATGTGTAGATGATTTTCTCTAGGAGGATACTAATAGAGACAGTACAGAAAGCTTTCCTGAAATCCAAGAAGTTCACATCTACTGGATTCCTTAGATCAACCTGATGGGCAACCTCATCATAACATAAAAAATTAAGACCATTAATTAATAAAGACAAAACCCTCACGAACTTGTGTTGGTTAGGACCAATGACAGCAATGTCACTGTCATCATTAGGGCAATCCCAGACAATAGAACAGACTGGGAGAAGAACTTATTGAGAGCTGCTCTGCTGAGAAAGATTTTGGAGTCCTGGTGTATGAAAACCTGGAAGTAAGCCAGCAGTGTGCTTTTGCAACCTGGAAGACCAACTGTATCCTCTGGTGCATCAAAAGAGGGGATGCCAGCAGGATGAGGGCAGTGACCTTCCCCTTCTGCTTTGCCTTTCTGAGGCCTCACTCAGTGTACTGTGTACAGGTCTGCTTCACCCAGTAAAGGAAGGATACAGAGCTGTTGGAGTGGATCCAGAGGAGGCTGGAATCATTTAGATGATCGGAGGCTGTGGCATCTCTCTTAAAAAGATAAAGGCTGAGGGATCTAGGCTCAGGGAGAAGAGACAAGCACAAGGGAGACCTCACTGAGGCCTTCTAACACTTAAAGGCACCTTATGAAAAGGAAAGAGACTTTTTATAAGATCTGATAGAGATAGGGCAAGGGGGGAATGGTTCTTAACTAAAAGGGGAGATTCAGGGTAGATGTTGTGAGGAAAACTTTTACTGAGAAGATGGTGAGGCACTGACACGGGTTACACCGAGAAGCTGTGTATACAATGAATGCCCCATTTCATGCCAGAGGGGTTGGAAGTAGATGATATTTAAGGCAGCTTTCAATCCAAGCCATTCTGTAACTCTCTAATTGTCTTTCAGGTGTTTTTCAGTAACTCCCAGAATAATCTCCATAATTTTGCCAAGCAATGAAATGACACTGACAGGCCTGCAATTATAGAGTTCTCCTTATTCTTCTTCAAAACTGGTATTTTCATAACATTTGCCAGCTTCCAATCTACTGGGACCTCTCCATATTTCCCACACCATTTAAAAATAGCTAGAAGAGCAAAGGTGACATCAGCCAGCTCTCTGAGATCAATTCTTCCAGGCCCAAAAAACTAGTATGTATCCAGCAGAAAATCTTGCACAAATCTGGGTTGGCTGGGAGTTTACTGTTAGAGCAGCCACAATCCTCCACCTCGTAGGACCTGTAGTGCACATCACTGGTATTGAAGACAGAGGCAAAGAGGGCATAAAAGTCTCAATTTTGTCTGTCCCAACTTGTGAATAGCATTAAGTAGCAGAACAATGTTACTTCCAGTGCTCTTTTTGTTGTTCACATGCTTTAAAAGGGTATACACACTTTTTTTTTCTTTTAATAACATTTTTCTTTCATTGATGCCTGCCTGCAAAATTGCACTCTTAATAACAGGTGTCTTACCATCTAAGCTTTATGTGGACAGAAATGCTATAAATAAAATGTCTCTTCAATAAACCTTAACACAGCCCTTTATACTCTGACTTCTCTCAACATAATAGGACTTGAAATAATTGCTGTGTTCACCTGAGAAGAAGGAATCTCAGTACACAGAAAATATCTCAGAGTTGGATTTTATACTTGATGGAGAAAACAAAATAGTAATTGGAACACACTTCTGAAAACTTTCAGAAGTTAAAAATAGGAGATAACGCTCGAAGATAGAATACTGAGAAAAGTGAAAACTAGACACTGTATAGCAAGTGTGATGTGTTATGGAAACAGGAAAACAAGAAGTTAACTACTTTTACAGAGCACATTACAGAAATCTGTAATAGTAACCCAGAGGGATGAAATGCAAAACTGAACACTTCAGGAATAATTACAAAGAGGAAGACACTTTCTGCAGATCCCTGTAGTGGTTTTTATTGCTATGGCTAAATCTTGTAACCTATTTCTACAATATTTTAATTGACCTACAACAAAGATTTCTCTGTTTTCAAAGATGCAATCCAATAGCTCCAAATATCAGAAGGACATCATAAATTCTATTTTGATGTAATTTCCTTTTTCTCAAGTTAGAAAAAGCAGGTAGCAAACAACTATTTAGGAGAGCTAAGAACAGATCTAAAAGCCAGCTGAGTACTGAGTATTGGCAAGTGTTGGTCAAAATCTCCATTAATATGTCAACAGAATTAATGTTTGTTTAAGTTAAGATCTGATCCATAAATTCCACATGCAACGTTCTCCTCACCCAACTATTTACAACACTAAAAAAAAAAACTATGCAATCAGTTGCAAATCGCTAACAAATTCTGGCCTGATAAGTGGAATGATCACACTGCTAAACAATCACGCTGTAGTTCTAAGGGTTAAAGAAAGAAGTTTACAAGATATTACTAAGTTACTAAAAGAATGCAACAGGTTCAATGAAGACTCAAAATACATGAAGAGTGTTCCAATATTGGGATTAAAAATAATAATAAACTGCACCACTCCCCATTTTATCTGTTTCATTTACTGTTCCAGTTTCAGATGGGTTACAGGAAACTTGCTCCTTAGTAGATGTTATGGTGCTGCATGTTGGATTTAGGATGAGGATAATGTTGATAACTTTGATAGGATCAGCTCCAGAATGGAGGCAGCTGGGAGACTCCTGCCAGCAAGGCAGAACCATGGCAAAAACCACAAAGAGAGAAGCACAGGGAGAGATAGGAGCCCCAGCCTTACCTGACCAGGAAGGGAGAAGCACTGATGAGGAACAGCTCTGATATAGCATGGGCAGGGTGAGAAGTGATGGTGCAATCCTCCACACACACAGAGACAGCCCCTAGGGAGTTAGAGTGACCAGGGGCATGGTGACAAGGGCATGGAAATCATTAAGGGCATGGTGTGGCATGGCGGGTTTGTGCGGGTTTGGACATGTAGGAAACAGAAGATGTGGAACACTTTCTTTTCATCAAGGAACAGCACTCTGTTGCTGCAGTTCGCTCAGGCAGGGTTCTGTACCTTGCATGCAGATTCACAACCAGGGAAGTGCTCCTGATTTCTGTGAGTATGGAGGTGGGCACTCACTTGAGGGTTAAAATCAGTGCCCCTGCGAGAAAATCCTCAGAGATACCTGATATATTTACCCAGAATGAACGGGTGAGAAAGGAGATTTAGGTTAAAGCAGCTCGTTGCACCAAATGCTTTGAACCTTCTCCTGGTGTTAAGGTAAGTACCTGTCCAAGGTGTGCACAGGTGAATGATCGTTTATGACTAGTGGCTGAGTTGCAAGAAGCAGTTAAAAAGCTGCATAGCATTAGAGATGCTGAGAGAGAGCTGGTTTAAGGACCATCTTCTGGGACTGGGTAATACTGAGGAGGCACTTCAGCCCCTGGTGATACACAAAAGCAGACCTCCCCTTCAGCCCCCACCTTCTAACTTCACTACTAAAAGCAGATACGAAGCTTATGCAAACCCATGACCAAGGTCTGCAAGGAGAAGTCATATTAACAGCTTACAGAGGACATCATAAAAGGAAACACTAAGTGCTTGTAGTCGGTGACTCTCCCTTAAAAGGCATGAAGGGTCTCTTCTGTTGGCGTGACAGGGAGTCTTGATTGGTTTGCTGCCTCTCAGGAGCCAAGATATGGGATACTGGAAACAGTGTGCAATAGATTGTCTAAAGCATAGACTATTATTTTCTGCTCCTTTTTACTGTGGGCATGAATGACACTGGAAGCTGGAATACGGGCAGAATTAAAGAATAGTATAAAGCCATGGGAGTGCAAGTGAAAAAGACTGGTGCCCAGGTTACCTTCTCAATTTTGCCATCTGGAGGAAAGAGGGCAGCAGAAATTGACATATAATGCCTGTCCAAATTCCAGATATATGGCTGGTGCTGACACAACACTCACAGTTTTCATGACGATGGGAATTTCTATGAGGATTACAACACATTATGGATAGATGGGATATGTCTGTGTAGAAAAGGCAGGGCTATCTTCAGCAGTGGGCTGGCAAACTTATTGAGGTGGGCGTTAAAACTGAAGGGCTTGGGGTATGGTGTCCAAAATGGAAATGCTCATGCCATTGAACTAACTCATGAAATAAGCAAGGCCAACCAAAACAGTGACAAATGTTCCTTAGCTGCCTTCCATCGCATAAGCCAGAAGGCCAGTCACCTCAGCGGTATGTATAGTTACAGAAGGTCTTTAGTGTGTAGACCAGTCACAAGCGGTGTACCTCTTGAAGGGATCGTTCTTAAAACAGTACTCTTCAACATCTTCATCAATGACACGGACAATGGCACCGAGTGCCACTGCAAGTTTGCAGATGACACCAAGCTGAATAGTATGGTCAATACACTGGAGGAAAGGGAAGCCATCCAGAGGGACCTGAACTGGCTGTAAAAGTGGGCCCATGATGTTCAGGGCAGGGTGCTGCTCTTGGGTCAGGGCAATCCCAGGTATTTTATACAAACAGGGAGAAGAGCCCCTTAAGAGCAGCCCTGTGGAAAAGGACTCGGGGGTCCTGGTGGAAGAGATGCTGGACATGAGCTATCAGTATGCGCTTGCAGCCTGAAAAGCCAACTATATCCTGGGCTGCATTAAAAAAGGGGTCGCCAGCAGGGAGAAGGAGGTGATTTTCCCCTTCTACTCAGCTCTTGTGAGGCCACATCAGGAGTACTACATTCAGTCCTGGGGCCCTCACTACAGGAAGAACATGGAGCTCTTAGAGCGGGACAAGAGGAGGGCCACTAAGATGATCAGAAGGCTGGAGCACCTCTTCTATGAAGAAAGTTTGAGGGAACTGGGTTTAGACTGGAGAAGAGAACACTCCAGGGAGACCTCACTGTGGCCTTCCAGTTCTTGAAGGGAGCTTATAAACAGGAGGGGGAATGACTGTTTACAAGAATGGACAGTGACAAGAAAACGGGGAATGGTCTGGAACTGAAGCAGGAAAGGTTTAGGTTAGATATTAGGAAGAAGTTTTTCACACAGAGGGTGGTGACACACTGGAACAGATTGCCCAGGAAGGTAGTGGATGCCCTATCCCTGAAGGTATTCAAGGCCAGGCTGGATGTGGTTCTGGGCAGCCTGATGTGGTGGATGGCGACCCTGCACAGAGCAGGCGGTTAAAATCAGATGATAATTGCGGTCCTTTTTGACCTAAGCCATTCTAAGAGTCTATCATTCTATGATCTTTTTGTATCCCCCCAAGGAAATATAAATCCTGTTCCCTTTTCTTCTTTAAAGTAACTCTATACCAATGGACATAGCATTGCAAATAACAGGAAGAATTAGAGATCTGTGTACAGTCCAAGGACCATGATCTTACTGAGATCATGGAGACATGGTGAGACATTTTGCATGACCGGAACACATTCATGGATGAGTATGTATTTTTTGTAAAGACAGACAAGCAAGATGATGCCATGGAGCTGCACTTTATGTGGGAGAAAAATACATGTACTGACTTCTGCCCAGAGATGAATGATGAGTGAAGGGAGAGCTTATAGGTGACAACTAAAAGGAAGGCCAATATGGGTGACATATTTGTGGGTGTGTTCCTCCTCACTAGAAGGAGGAAATTGATGAAAGTAGTCTCACAATCACAGGCACCAGTTCTCCTGGAGGACTTCAACCACCATGATACCTGATGGGACAGGTTGGATAGCTGGGCTGAAGCCAATGGGATGAGGTTCAACAAGACCAAATGCTGGGTCCTGCACTTTGGCCTCAATAACCCCAGGCAACGCTACAGGCTTGAGGCAGAGTGGCTGGAAGACTGTGTAGAGGAAATGAACCTGGGGGTATTGATTGATGCTCGGCTGAACATGAGCCAGCAGTGTGCCCAGGTGGCCAAGAAGGCCAATGGCATCCTGGCTTGCATCAGGAACAGAGTTGCCAGCAGGAACAGAGAAGTGATTGTCCCCCTGTACTCAGCTCTGGTGAGCACCTCAACTACTGTGTCCAGTTTTGGGCCTCCCGCTGCAAGAAAGACATTGAGGCCCTGGAGTGGGTTCAAAGAAGGGCAACAAAGCTGGTGAGGGGTCTGAAGCACAGGGCATATTAGGAGCGGCTGAAGGAGCTGGGAATGTTCAGCCTGGAGGAGGCTCAGGGCAGACCTTAATGCTCTCTATAACTTCCTAAAGGGAAGTTGTAGTGAGCTGGGGATCAGCCTCTTTTCTCATGTAACTGGTGATAGGACCAGAGGGAATGGCTCCAAGCTGTGCCAGGGGAGATTCAGGCTGGACTTTAGGAAATACTACTTCTCTGAAAGAGTGGTCAGGCACTGGAATGGGCTGTGGAGGAGTCACCGATCCTAGAGGTGCTCAAGGAACATTTGCACATTGTGTTGAGGGACATGGTTTAGTGAGAACTATTGGTGATAGGTGGATGGTTGGACTGGATGATCTTGTAGGTCTTTTCCAACCTTGATGATTCTGTGATTCAGTGATTCAGATTAATTAATTTAAAATATTTTTTCTAGGAGAGGTTCAAAGGTTCTGTATAAATTTACTAATAACAAATTTTCAGTGCTAAAGAATAAACTACACTTCACTGTTTGATAAGATTTTCTCATGCAAGCAATGACAAATGAGATCTCATTTGCTTTCTTTACACAACGACAAGCAGAATAGAATTTGCAACAAGTAAGCGTGTGCAAATACTAAAACAAATACACATTTTAGCATCTAACTATTTCACAAAATGCCAATGACGCATTTCAGGGGGAGTGATTTTAATTCTGCACAGATTCATCTTAAAAGCACACTGTCAAGTAATTAAGATTACAAATGCTCAGTACATGAGAAAGCGTTAGGAAAAAATTTTAAACAAAAATGTGCAATCTCAAAGAATTTATTACTTACTTCTTGTCAGTAGTTTGTTTTAATGCACCACCTCTCAAATTGCAGAGACAACATTCCTAAAAATAAAAACAGTGTAGAAACAAGTGAGCTTTATTGACTGGTTACAAAGCAGTCTTACTAAACTGATCTTAAGTACATGTAAATTGCTAATATAGTTCAGTACTAGCATACAACCTGCCACTTAAAAGCAACGCACTTCCTTATAGAAAAAAAAAAAAAAAGAACATAATAACAAAAAGACTGACAATTCAAAAGAGCTGAAGAAAAATAAGTTTTAAATACTACCCTTGAATAAAGTTACAGAATCTCTTTGAAGGCAACACCAAATGAAAAAGCATTCAGCTAGTACTGCAACGGAAAGGCTAGAATTGCCACGAAACCTACTATAGTAAAACACAATAAAATGATGCATAATTAGCTTAATAAAAGTTAGGAAGAAAGCACTGTCTCATAAGCCATTGATTCAATTCAAATAATGAAAGACATTCTGTGTTTGATACTTTCTTTTAAGAAAGACCCTAACAACAAAGTACTTCCTTGCAACTAATGAATTTTCTTCGCAATTTAAGCAGATAACATGTCACCTTACCTACCAATATCACAGAGTAACATATTTTTTCATACAGTGCCATTTTAATGTAGTTAATGTTATTACAGAGGTGTACAGACGTGAGGTTCATTGCTTTAAACACAAGAGACCTAGGATTGAACCCCACTTATTCCAGGTTCCAGTTCACCAGAACTCTTAAATCCAAAAATCTAAAGGCTTAGAATAACAATCCTTTCTGGCATGCAAAGGAGCAGAAACAGGTAGTTTCTGCATCAAGAGAGGAGAAATGGCCATAAAAGGGCTACTCCTGCAGAACTGAGTGGCTTTTTCAATATTTACTGTCCGTAATTTTACAGAGACTCGATCAGCAAACAAGTCAATAGGATTATACTAAAAATCCACAGGACTTTTCCATTTGACTGTTGGAGCGTAAGTAAAACTGATCCTTGCAAAACCAACACTTTTACTCAATCGGCTGTATCTTTGTGGGGTTCTCACACTTCATCGAATGAAATCTTCTCCTACCAAAACCAGATAGAAGCTAAATGGGGCACAATTATAGCTAATTCTATAGCACTGCAGCCTCTTCCATATGGTTTCTCTTTAGATCCTTTCTTACAAACCAGTGAAAGAAAAGTCTCTCTCTTCCTTTGATTCATTTTAAACTCCACGAGGAAATGGGTAATCTTTTCTGCTATTAATGTTGATCTTCATATGCAGAGCATGCCAACCATTGTCATGAGCTACTGACCAATAGAATGCTTTAGTTTTAAACATGACAGTGGGATGCAAGATGAGAAAATTAAAATTAAGTTGGCAAGCTCACGAGAAATCAAATGAATGATCCAAGCAGCATACAAAATATTCAAAATGGAACATTCATTCAAGAATGGATAAATTCCTGCAGTTCTGCAGGAGTAGCAAGCTTACAGTGTAGGGGATGAATAACACCTGCAGACTCTTGAAAAGAATATGACTCTGATTCAACTGAAAAATTTGTGGGGAACTACTTCCTTATCTCCCTTCAAACTGAAAGTTCAGCAGATCACTCACTTGTGGATTCTCTTTTTTTGTTGTAATTGTTGTTGTTTGTCTATAATTATTAAATTGCTTTAATTAATTAATTTAATTATTTTTTTTCTATTTGCTATATGAAAGATTACTCTTGTTCAATAAAATAAAATAGAGCCTCTATTTTGTGAGATTTTATTTTTTATTCTAGCCTACATTGAAATTCAATACTAGAATGAGAATGAATCTTTCCTGCTTCTAATAGATATTTTTAAGGAAAACCTTAATCTGATCATTTGCTGTGTAGTTTCTCAATGCAACTACAGAAAAAATCCAAGGCTATAAAACGATTCTACAAATAGATTACACTAAAATACTCATAAGGTATTACAAACAAATTTCTGTTTTCCTGTCTCTTAGACACAATATAAAGAATTCTGAACTATACACTGCAATTCATAATTCTTACCCAGTATAGCACAGAGCTTTCGTACGAGGTTGAAAGGCAAAAAAAAAAAAGAAGAGAGAGAGAGAGAGAGAGAAAGTTGCTTTATGTATTCCCAGTGGCAGCCTGATGCTTGACATTTTTTTCCTATGCAGGGCCTGTAGGAACTGAAATCCACACATACAAGTCTTCAGTGCATAGGCAGTAATGGTGGCAATAACCACACGGTCATTCTGTGGTAGATACCAACTGTAGGAACTTGAAAATGTCATCAGTGTTTATAGCAAACATGTGTGGACAGGCCCAGAAGTGAAGGCTTTCAGATTTTATATCCTAGCTTTGCAAAGTATTGTCCTACATCTGTGCAATATGACCATTACTTTATCTCCAGTTTTGGCATACTGCAAACAACGAAAATACAGGGGAAGCAACTATTAGAAGTACTAATATTTCTGGTAAAGATGTGCCTGCTATGGACAGCCGTGAGATCAGACATACATTAACATTTACAACCCTTTCCTCATACAGAAAGAACGAGTATTCACTGCATATACAATTCAGGATAAGCAACAGACTTCAATGTAGAGCCTCACTGTAGCATCACCTTATTCACTATTCCTTTGCAAAACTTTTAAGCAAGTAATTTTACGTCATATGTATTTGCATTAAATAATAATTTCTTATGCACGTTATTTTACACTTATCTAATAATTAAACCTTAGAATTTTTTTAATTGCTCACCTGCTTAAAAATCACCATAACATTCTAGAATTATAAAAGAAAACACTCTTTTCCAATAGCTGTATAAACTAAGCCATTCCCATATAATTCACAGTCTTTATTACACTAATGTTTGCTTCGTCTTTTAGATTTTTAGTGGAAACAATGCATTTTTTTCATAACAATCACATTCACAGGTTCTGGACTGCACGGTTTTCCTTGTTTACAATTAAACAGTGAATTTTGCAACCACCATTCCTAATCTAGTCTATTTTCCATTTGTCTGTTTCAGCCACTGCTATAAAACACAGCAAAAGTCAATGTGAATTAACCAAATTCTCTTTGATACATACATCCAAAAGATGCAACATCTTCACTGGAATGATACGCCATTATTCAAGCATAGCTGCATACTAATTATTATTGCATGGATGAACACAAGAACAACAACAATGAAATCTGTTCACACTTATTTATATGTTAAAGTGAATGCATTTGGTTGTCTTTGCATGCTTTCTGCACTCAAAATTCAAAGTCATAATGACTGTAACACTCTCAAGAAAGGCTTTTACACACTACATCAGCAGTACCATTCTGTGTGAACAGGAAGCAGTTTGATACAGCAAGGAAACAGAATCCAGTCAAGCCATGGGTGAGGGAAAGTAACAGTCAAATAATGGTTATTCCTATGGACAACTATGAACATTATTCCACTTGATCCTCTTTCCTGTTAAACTGCTCTCTTTATTCTTCTGCGACCCTGTAAATTACAATGGCATCTCCAAGGAACAATGTTTACTCAGTTCAAGGAAATAAATATGTGTGGGTGGATAAAAACTGTGTAAATAAAACATATATTATTCCTAATTAATTATGTCTGACATTTTTCCAAATTCTTAAAAAAAACGTGGTGATACAGTTTCCATAATCAATCTAACAATCTCTTCCAGTCCTTTCACATTCCTGCCAGCAGCTAACCTGAAGCTTTTCTGCTGTCATTTAAGCTTTTTTTGCTTTTTGCTTTATGCATGATAAAAATGAGAAACAGATCGTTCCTTTAATTTTTGCCAGCTTCCACCTGCAGCTTCTTACTACGTTAAACTATCACTAATTTTTTACTCACTATTTTCATTTGAGGTCACATTTTTCCTCTAAAACGCAACGAGAGCAAATAATCTACACCGTCAAGCAGAGCAGGATTAGCTGATTTTGTGTTAATTCACTATAGCAGATCCAACATGCATGTCCTCTATGAACAGCAACAACTGCATGCACCACAACCCTCAGAAACACTTCTACAGCAGTGACTGGTATGATTGCTCCATATTCCTGTATCTGTACTCTAGCTTCAGTATCTTGAATTCTTCCCTATTCAGCTGCACCCTGTTTTCAAGAGTATCTCAATAACTGAACAAAACTTTGTTCATTTCTACCTATTCTTATTCTTATGGACCTTAGTTAAAAAAAAATCCACTCTTTCTATTCAGTTAGCACCACCTGCAACAAGTGGTAACTACAAGATAATTAACCAGGTTGGTGGATGTTCAGGCCAGGAAGGAAAAGACAAGTGTGGAGTATGAGAAATGCCGATAAAATTATGAGTGGCTTGGAAAAAGACTTCACTAAGTAGACCAATACAAAAACCAGGCGGTTGCTATCAAAGGACAACAGAAAGCAGCTAATCCTAGATAGACAAAAAAAACCCAAACCATTCTTCACAAAATGTGACTTAAATTTGCCACATGTGAATGCTAGAAGTTTACACCATTTAAACAAGAAATTCATTAAAAAAATTCATCATTGGCCACCTTCTAGTGAGCAAATAGACAGACACTGCCCTTGGCTACGGCAGTTTCCTATTTGCATATTGTTATAGACTGGGAGAGGATTAGGGAATGCTTACCTAAGGTTTACATTCTTCCCAAGGTATTCACTTTTGGCCTTGTTGAAGACACTGGAACAGGCTGCCCAGTGAGGTTGCAGATGTCATCTCCTTGGAAGCACTAAAGGACAGGCTGGATGGGGCTTTGAGTAGACTGGTCTAGAGGGAGGTGTTGGAACTAGATGATCTTAAAGGTCCCTTCCAACCAAACCATTCTGTGATGTTTATAATAAGTACATATTTTGTGTGGTAAACTGAAGCAAGGAAGACATTTATAATGTTTTTAGCACTGCTTCAGTAAACAGGACACTGTTTATCCAATTCATAAAACACTGTTTTTTATCTCAACTATGCTCCTATGCTTCTTTTGACTGTGATTAGTGTTTAACAGTCCTAAATATTTCTAGTGAGAAATCAGAACAATTGTTTTCAGTTTTAAGACTGTTCT